TAGTCCCCCAATCATGTGTGCTGTGATCTGTGTGCTGTATCAGATCCTGTATGCTGTACTGGCTTCCATGTTAAGAGAATGTGGGCAAACTAGTGTATACTCAGAGGGGTACCGCTAGGCTAGAGAGGGGATTTAAAGTCACACTGGACAAACAAGGCACTACATGGCATCTGGATGTGCTGCTGCCTTACAAAGGTGGCATCACTGTTGCTTCCCATCTTCAGGCAGAGTTTGTGTGAATATGTGTTGGAATTTGAATCCTGCAGTAGTGTAAAGATATCATTTATGCTTTTTCCTTGAAAAAGCTGAGCTGACATGGCAGAAAAATGTTGCCTGTGGTTTTGGCTGAACCATTGAACAGAATGTTTGTCTTCAGACATCTCCTGGCCACGGTGGGCCTGGTGTCCTCATGTCATTGATGCCTTGTGATTGCAGAATACCCACTGATGGAACAGATGGTCTGCGTCCTACTCCATGTAAGGCTTGTACAGTTTGGATATTATTTCCCTATGTAGATAAAGAACTTTAACAGCCTGTGTTTTGTCGGTTTTCTCGTAATCAGGATTATCAGATGCTGATTGGTCGGGTGAGGGAGAAGGAGGGACATGTAAGTAGATAAGAGTGGCAGCGGTGGTGGTCTGTGTATGTATGTGTGTATTTATAAATATCAAAGCAAACATGAACTTTTTACAGAACCCTATGAAAAATTAATAAAAAAGTTCCTTTGCTTGGAAGTTGTAACTCATCACAGTTTCCTAGTGATGATGTTTGCTGATTTCTGAAAGTGTGTGTCTCTTGGTTTAAATCTGACAACATTGTGCTGTCCGAATTGATTACTCTCCTTGAACTGTGTGTGTGTGTGTGTGTGTGTACTCTTAAAGATATCTTGAAGTCTTGTTAAACACTGAAGGCAAGGCATATGGTGTTACTGCAGTTGAAAGCAATTGCAGGAAGAATGCCAGTCACTTAAGTATAAAAAGATGATGCTGTAAAACTGTCCATACTCTCAAATATTAGCTCAGAGTGAGATCTTTGATTTAAAAATTGCTAAATCAAAGTGAAATATAGTTTCAATAAATAAATCACATAACCTAACATATCGTAACTTCTCATTAAGGTCATTGTTGCTGTCTTTTTTGGAAACTGACTGTGTCTCACCACTGTACCATATGTGAAATAAAAATCTATCTCAGTTGCATTTTGTCACTTATGGGGGACAAATTTGGGAGTTACTTTGCCCTTTTGTCACCTATGGCTTGTATGTAGTGAGTAAAAAAAGAGGAAAAAAATCCTTTCAGACATTTATAATGATTGAAGCAGAATAAGAGAATAAGATAGTGGAGTAAGTTAGGTTGTGGAGCCCTGCCCTTTAAAAATCAGCCATTCAGATAATCAATGAGCCTTCCTGTCTGCAGCTGACCCTATTTAACAAAGGAAATACGTATATTTATGGAATGGAGATTTGTAGTCACTGCTTATTTCCAATATTTCTTTTGCATACACGTTGGGATTTTTTTTTTCTAATCAAGTCGGGCATTTTTGTGGTTTCTCCTGTGTTGTCCTGAGTTGGCAGACAAAGGCCATTTGGATTTTATATTCATGCTGATGTTTAACTTGGATCACGGTGCAGATTTCTGGTGGCAAAGACCAGCACTCTTGCTCACAGATACTTGAAAAGTGATGTCAGTAGCAGTTGATGGATGCCAGAACATGCCAAGTTCCCACACAGGAATACATTTCATTTAATGTAAAATGGTAAAATCCTAGCGATGTGAGCAGCTATACTGGAAGCATGAAGTTTTCATTTTTACATGAGAGTTTCTTTCCCTTTCCTGCTTAAACAAGTTTTTGTGTAACTTACATAGGAAGCTTGCTCATATGAAATAAATTTTGGAATTGAGATGGTTTTTACCATGAGAACATTGGCTTCATTATGTGCTGCAGGTATGCATAAAATGATCCCAAAGCTGGAAAGTAACCAATGTGCTTCATTTCTATGGACATTCCAATAAAAGAAGATGATATTTGGGAGACTCATTTTGGCAGAGAAAAATGTACATGTTGGGTGCAAAGGTTACCAAGATGCTGGAACGTGAACTGAGAGGAATTTTCATTCTTTATTCATCAGACTTCAAAAATGTTTGATGTATTACCTCAGGGCTCCATATCAAATTAAAATAGATAAATGAAGACTATAATAGTAGCCATCTGTCTGAAATTATTTTGCTGGCAAGAGGATGGATGGCTCAAGTTACCATTGGATGTCTCTGCTAGGTGACACAGTGTGGAGAAGACTGTGTGGAAGCTAGGAAGATGAGTCCTACGAGTAGGTTGTTCAAGAGCATTAGGGAAGTGATGTTGGTGGTAGAAAATGACAAGAAGTTGGAGAAAAACAGGCCATTGGGTGCAAAATTGTACCGGAACTGAACCATTGTTGCGTAAAAATGTTTGGAAAGTTAATGGAGTAAAATTATTTCCAGTGTGAGTATGTGAATAACATGTAACTAACTGCTGGCTGTAATAGTGTAGGTATGGTGATGTAATAATCAGTAAGTCAGAATTTGCTTGAATTGAAAGTGTCACATTTTAGAATAATTAATAGTAAATAATTAAACAGTGCATTTCTTTTTGCACGGTATATCATGTGAGAAGGTAAGGAATAATTAGAAAATGCATACATCTAATGACCTGAAAAGAAAAATGTGTTCCTAAGACTAATTGAACATGGTTGGAACCATAAGCCCTGGGAAAAAGGTGCAATACACAAAGAATGAAAAATACCTCGGGTAAAAACTCTAATGTTTGAGTAGAACCCTTTGTTATGTTTCACATCTTTGAAGAAAGAATTGCAGTTGGCAAATACAGCTGATATAGATTGTGCTTAATACTGGGTAACAAAATGTAGATCAAGAAGGGCCATGAATTGAGCAGTACTACCCCTTCAACTTGAAGCATGCCGTGGACAAACCCATTGGTGAGTTGGGTCATGTGGAGTTCAAGGATGACTTGTGACTTTGCATTTCTGTTCTCATTGTTACCTACTGAGGCTTCCTTTAGCTGTTTGTCAATGTAAACAGTTTTGCTACCTGCAGCTGTGCAAGTGGGTACCTGAAAGGAAAGGCTTTACAAATCTTTGAAATTGTTCACCCCTGGTGGGTGAGATACTCCATCATAGCAGTGTCTCTGGGTTTTTTTGTAGTTCTCGTGGATGGGAGTGGGGGTAGGGACTGTTCTCAGTCCAGGGTAAGCAGCGAGGCAAGGAGATTTGCAGTTGCTTCCCAAAGAGGATCTTTGCAGTGTGAGTTTGTTATTTGGTGGATGTGTTACAAATGCCCATAGCCTCACACCTAAGTGTATACAATTAAAATTTTGAAAATTAAACTGCTGCTTATTTGTGAGATGCTGGCATTTCTTTGGCGAGATTTTCAAAGGTTTGTTGGAGTTCTTGGGAACTTAAGAAAACAAAAATTGTTTGAGAGACAAGCAGCATGTGACATAGTAGGAACATGATAACTGAATTCTTTTTCCTGGACATTGTTGGGATTTTGAAATATCACTTTGTGGAGTCTAAGTGGCGGATGTTTTCTTAATAAGGTTTTACATAAAAATAACCACACAACGTTTAAATAGCTTCCTGGTCTGGGTGTCAGTACATGATCTGGTGTCTGTCACTCAGCTGTGTCACTTCCTCTTATTGCTCCTTGTGATGGAGTCCCATGACCTTCACCGTGTTATACAACACATCTGATTTGTTTTCTGCCTGCCTTTATTTGCCATTGCTTGTGCTCCTTTCCCAGTGCTTCACTGACCTATCCCTTCCTTCCCTTCAGAATTCTGGTTTGATCAAACCTATCAAAGAGGTTGTACCTGACCACCACATCAAGCTTAGCTCTCCTTGTTTTCTCCTACTCTGCTATAGTTGTCTTCACAGCACTCATCTTCACTTGCAATTGTATTCTCTGTTGGTTTCCTTTTAAGTGCTGTGAAGTTAAGTGCTATGTCAGCCTTGTTCATTGATATAATTCCAGTGCCTTCAGCACTCAGTTGAATGTATGAATGATTGTTCAAATGTATCGTTAAGATACGTGGTTTGTTAGACTGGAATTGGAAATCTACATTTTTTCCATCCTGAGTCTGCAAAGGTGCATTTTCAGTTATTATATTTGTTCCTCTGTGTTGGAATACTAATTCCTCATTTCTTGCCATTCTGTCTGAATCCCAACAGAATATAAACTGGAGTTGAAAGGCAGGTACCTGTAACTAATAATGCAGAAGTTTTCAATAAACTAGATTCTAAGCCAGTTAGATTAAAAAAATGTCTAATACACTGTTCACTCTGTTAGCAGTTGCTTCTCCTCTCTCCATCAGAATGTAGAGCTCAAACCAGCAAGGACTTGTGACATGAGACTAGATGCCAGAGATCACTCTTTTATGCCACCTCTGTGAGCAAGCCTTGAAAAGACTAAATGGAACTTGTTTTGTTCACCTATGAGTAAAGAATCGAAATTGTGTCCCATTGGATGTCACATTCCTACTAGCTTGATGTTCAAGTTCTCCCTTTATGCAGGTGATTCAGTAAAAAGAAGCAAAGAGAAATTGAAAGGATTTTTCCAGCCCCATATCCTCCCATTACCCAAATTGGGAATTATCTATTTCCTTGATGAAAATGCTGAAATATTGCATTTATGTTCAGCTGTTGAACACTTTTCTTGTGACACATACATTATAGTATACCTAAAAAGAAACACTTTGGCTAGAAAATGGCTATTAACACAGAATGTTTCTGAGAGTTGACTCTAATTGTGAACCATTTAGACATCCAGCAAATGAAATAGACTGTGTTTTCTGATATTTAAAGGAAAAACACGTTAGCCCAGAATCTATTAAATAGTTACCTTTAGAAAAATGTATACTTATAAAAAAATCATGACCTCCCATTGATATATTCAGTATGGCTCAGAGTGGCTTCCAGTATAACTCTGCAACCTTTTGCATTTCAGGTTCGTGGGAGTAAGGGAGAAGTTCTGTACATTTTGGATGCTACCAACCCACGGCACTCCAACTGGCTTCGCTTTGTCCATGAGGCACCGTCTCAAGAGCAGAAGAACTTGGCTGCCATTCAAGTGAGCTTCTTTGCTGCTTATTTGTACTGTGCACTGTGAGGGGAATGAATTAATTTATGACTCTGCTCGCTGTTTTAAAATTATTTTTCTGTGACTTGCTTCAAATGACAGTAACTAACTCATAAAAGCAGAGAAATCTCAACCAGTCATCATAGGCATGAAAGAGCAAGCCTAACTGCAAACTCACACCAGATCACTCACTTTATGAGAATTCTTCAGGGCAAGAATACTGCTATCAAATAATGTCTGTAGTGGATCTTGCTTTGAAGTCTTTTTGATTCTTTCAGTGGAACTTTGTTGATTGTTTTTCTAGATAGTTTCTTCAGTTCATAGTCATGTACTCCATGCTAATGTTAGGGAAAGGTATAGGAAGTTTGCTTCTGTAAATTCCCTATGAACAGATCTGGAACCTCTTCAGGATGGTGTGTCCGTGAGGGATTTCTGGGGAAAGGTAACCATGTGTGTGAGGTGATAGCAGGGCTGATTATAAGGAATCTATTTGTGTAATGATAGAGGCTGCTGAGTCCCAAATCTACAGAGCTGGTGTCCCTGTTTCAGTCCAGAGATTTGAAGCCTTTGTAGAACCTGGAAGAACTGAGTGCCATTTTGAAGTCCATCAGGCAGAAAGAGTGGATGTTCTGGTTTGAAGGCTGTGCAGAGGAATGCTGTCATATTTAGTGTGGGGTGTGTGTGGGGTGTCAGACTTGTGTTCTCCTCAGGCATTCACTGAATGGAGCAAACTCATCTTCAGTATGGGGAGGAGTCTGCTTTACCAAATCACTGTTTGAAATGTTAATGTTTCTGCTGAACTCCTCACAGAAACACCAAACATGATGTTTGATCAACTGTCTCGCAGGCCATGGCGCCCCAACAACTTGACATACAATTAAGCATTATAGGTGGAGCTGTATCTTATTGAATTCTGTTTCTCTGGATCACAGAATATCGCTTCACATGACACTGGGTTATGATCCTGGTGCCAGTTGATTACATGAGCCCTCAGTGGAAATTAAAGTAAGAGAAAAATGCAGGTTTCTGAGGGATCTCATAAGTCAAACTCATTAATCAGAGAATAAGGAGACATTTTGTGGCAGAGAATTGAATCCCTCCTGGATCCTAAACTATAAAAGAGAAGTAGACCTCAGGCTGGCAAAAACAAGAGGGAAAGCTAAAAGGATAGAGGAGCAAGCGGTGTTTGAGTGTCTAGTATGTACACTGTTCTAGAAGCCCACATGTATACCTTTGTTTATAGAGAATCTATTATTGGCAATTAGGCTGGTTTTTGCTTTGTCCTTAGTTTAACATCTATATTTGTAATGGAAATACATTCAAATTAATTTTTCAAGTAAACGCAACGGCCGATACTATGCCAATCCGAAGCCAGGAGCCTCTTCCGGGTCTCCCACGCGGGTGCAGGGTCCCAAAGCTTTGGGCCGTCCTCAACTGCTTTCCCGGGCCACAGGCAGGGAGCTGGAAGGGAAGCGGGGCTGCTGGGATAGAACCAGCGCCAGTATGGGATCCCGGGCGTGCAAGGCGAGGACCTCAACCACTGCGCCAACGCGCTGGCCCCGAATCAGTGTTTTCTTATCCTCCTTTCTTCTAACATTTGTTTATTTATTTGAAAAGCAGAGAAAGGGAAGAAGGGGAGGAGTAAAAGAGACAGAGAGGAGAGAGAGATCTTCCATCTGTTAGTTAGCTACTCAAATGGCCACAACAGCCAGGGCAGGCCCAGCCCAAAGCAAGGAGCCATAAACCCCATATGGGCCTCCCACAGGTTAGCAAGGACACAAGCACTTGGGCTGTCTTTCACATTGTTTTCTCATGACCAAAGAGCTGGATTGTAAATAGGGTAGCTAGTTCTCAAAATGGTACCCACATGGCCTGCTGATGTTGTAGGCAAAAGATTAATGCACCGTGTCACCACACCATTCCTATAACTGCGGTCTCTTTTTATATGATGCTTGGAAGATGACTGTTTCAAAACAGTTGAGTTGGAAAATAGACTCCAAAGATATTCAAGCTACTTTTCAGATTACTCATGACATGCATTGATCCGGTCATAAATTTAAACTGAGTTTTTATTTGTAGTCATTAATTTGGTTTTTGCTTTTGTTTTTCAAGTGTAATTTAATGACTTCCTAAAGCAAATTCATCTTAAAAGATTTTAGGTTATGTTATAACTTTAATTTATAGACTCCATTTGTTTTTTTGTCTGTGTTGCTACTATCATTTTAGGATTGCCTATAGAACCATAAAATTTGTTTAGTGGGAGTTCCCCTCAACTACCCGTTTGCCAATAAAGAGCCTTTCAATTAGTAGAAAGGTGTATTAGTAAGTGTTAATCTTGATGTCTTCCCTTCATGTTAGTTCTCTGCTGTGCTCTGTGTTTTATCATATCGTAGTCTGTTTGCTGTTTAGCAGCGATGGATTTGGTGCACATGGAGCCTATAATAACTTGTGTGGACTATCTACTGATGGTCAGTAGCCCACGTTTATTAGCAGCATCAGACTTCTAAAAAGAAGTTGTCATGTATGCATCAGGAAGAGGGGTTTGGAGAATTTACATTTCAACAGCAAGAGAATACGCAATTTGTTCCGCTAGCAGGTTCCTTTCCTCAGTCTGTTCATTCCTGTTCCCCTGCCTGGGGAAGGAAGCACCTCTCTTTGATCTATTATCTAAACCTGTGGACTAGGGAATTTCCTGACTATTCATTTCCATATTAATTGCTCCTGATAGCTCTGGCTCCAAATTGGCAAAGATTCAAAGTGTCTTCCCAACAGTAGTCACTAAGGCATTCTTCCCTTGTTTTTAGTGATTTTCCAAGACTTATACAGCTGCTGTCTGTTATACTCAGGATAATACTCTTCTTCTATGTCAGTTGTGTTTCTCGCATTGAGAGAAAGTAGAATCTGGGGCTAGTGCCAAGGTATAGCAGGTAAAGTCTATGTCTGTAGAATTGGCATCCCAAATAGTTGCTGAGTCTAGTTGTTGAGAATTGGCTGTTCTATTTCTGATTGCGCTCCCTTCTAATGGTCTGGTAAAGCAGAGGAGGGTGGCCCTAAGAGACCTGGAAGAAACACATGATTCCTGGCTTTGTACCTGCCCAGCTGTTACTGTTGAGTTCTTTGGGGAGTGAACCAGCAGATGGAAAATCTTTTCTCCATCTCTTCACTTTGTAACTCTGCCGTTCAAATAGAAATAAATAAACTTAATTTATTAAAAGATAAAAAAAAAGAAGGTAGGAAAATGAAAGAGTTGACAGTCCTTACTTTGGCTAAGATGTAATTACTGACTTGACAAGAGGGAAGCATGGGCTTAGATGGGGACTCACATGTCTAAGAGGCCCTGCCCAATTTCACTCTTGACTTTGGTTAGAATCTGTCCAGAGGCCCCTGGGGGGAGTGCTTCTGCTGCAGAAGCCTTGGCAGTAGCTTTCATTTCTTTGAGCACTGTTCTGCCCTTTCTAAACAAGGGAATTGAGTGTACACTTACCATGTTTTTTTTGTCAAGGAACACAAGGGATCTTTATTGACTCCCTTGAGGTAACATCTTTCTAACTGAAACTCAGCAGTAGCTGGAGTAGTGGATTGCTAAATGTTCAAAATCGCATCTAGGCTGGGGGAAGAGATCCTGGTAGTTGGGTCATGTGGCTGAGTGGGATGTCAGCCATCTAATTGGTTGGGGTGATCTCCTGAGGCTTGCATTCCAGAAGCATTAACTTAGTAAGAGAAGATCATAATGTTTCATACATAGCATGATTCCCAGCCCTGTCACTTGCATTCCAAATTGTATCTGAAATTTGGAGTATTCAGGAAATTATTTATTTCAGTTGTATGTCCTGGGAGTGGAGAAAATGAGAAACATTTGTGGCTATGTGGCTTGCTTGGTGGGAGACGTCAGTTCTTGGTCCAATGTTTTTCTGGCCAGGGGATTAAGAATTTGAAGTCTGTTTTGGCAGAGGGTTGGAACTCCTTCTTGGAGACTTGATTGTGTTCCTAGATTTGTAATTTATATGATTTTTGGAAAATGTGCTTTGGAAATAACGATTTAATTATATAAATTATTAAAGAAGCATCTAGTAGGCAATCGATTCTTCCCACTTGCATACTCCCTGGAGTGATCCTTGAAAAGTACAATCAAACTTCTGAAAGACACCCAGCTATGACTATAAAATTCTAAATATGAAAGCAATAGTCTAAAATGAAATATTTATAACTTCATAAGGAGGATGACTCTTGCTAAATGTCAGCTTTATTGCATTAATAAAAATGTATATGTAATACTTGAAAAAATATTTGATCTAGCCATTGCTTTTCAGATTTCTTAAATAGTCCAATCTTTTGATTGAAAACTAATTGTTTAAATAATAGATGTTGCCAAGTAAAGTTGAAAATTCATGAGAAATTCAGAGATACTGTTATATCTCATATTCTTCAGACTACATTTCCTGGCATCTGTTTCCAGGATAATAATTTATGTTATTTTATCAACATAAGAAGTGGGTTGGTGTTCTAAGAAACAGGAGTGTGTGGAAACACATTTGGGTGCTGGCCCAGGTCTTGTAGGTGTTAGCTTTGGGGCTGGTGTGAAGTCGTGCAGAGGCCCTGGGTGTTGAGCTGAGCTGTCAGCACAGCTCCACCCCCGTTCTGCTGTCAGTTAAGATTTCCCAGCACCAGAAGAGTTTTTTTTCTCTCCAATAATTTCCTTCCCCTCTTTTTGCCTTCCGCAAGGAATAGTGGTCATAAGCAGCGTAAGCAGTTTATTCCCAGGTGTTCTCTCTCTCTTTAAAGATTTATTTGTATTTTTATTGCCAAATCAGAAATACAGAGAGGAGCAGAGACAGAGAGGAAGATCTTCTGTCCGATGAGTCACTCCTCAAGTGACCACAATGGCCGGTGCTGAGCCTATCCAAAGCCAGGAGCCAGAAACTTCCTCCAGGTCTCCAACACGGGTGCAGGGTCCCAAGGCTTTGGGCTGTGCTGGACTACTTTCCCAGGCC